ATTAAATGATCGTTTTTTACACAGCCTCGAGGGATCGTGTGTTAAAATTGTTTGTCACGCGGGAAGATGGATCGTGTGTGCGCGTGGAGACTGTCACAACGTTAATTGCGTTAATAAAGATCGTGGCCGATAAAAAGAAAAAAAAAAAAGAAAAAAAAAAGCAAATCTACTACGACCAACATAACGCGTACGCGAAAACGAACGCGATTCCCTGTCGTGAGATATAATCGTAAATTCTCTCGACTCGTTTTTCTTTTTTTTTTAAAAGCCAGTCACGATTTCACGGGGAAATTATATCACCAAGTATCTTCGAGCGTGATCGTCTCACGACCAATTATTCCAAGTCTCGTCTTTGTCGCGTTGAAATACCGCTCGTATCGCGTGTTTATCCTCTCTTGTTGGCTCGTTTAATAATCGCGAAATAGTAAAACGCCACTGTCACTCAAACGCGATATCGAGGGGGTTCGAAATATAATTCCCTTATTGACACTGATTAGAGATTACTGAAAATTACGGAGGGCCGACACGATAATGACTGCGTAATTGTATGGGGAGATAAAGCTGCCGATTGGAATTCGTGCGGTCCATCGCCAACGGTTTGGATTTAATTTTCTTATGGAAATTTTCACGCGTCTCTTATGGTATCCGCACTCTTGGAAAATTTCATATAAATTCATTATTCGTTCGGGATCGTCGTAGCGAAACGTGATTACGATCGATACGATTACGATCGAACGAAGAAACGAGAAATGAAGGAACCGATGTTCGAACCGATCATCAAAGATTAAATGACTAATCGATTAATACACGAATGGTCGAGTATTGTTGCGAAGAAGATAGAAGTGTCGCGAAGAGTTAAAAATTGCCATCGCCGCGAAAAACGATTGGACAAACGACGATAAAGATTCGATAAGACCGTAAAAAAAAAGGAGGGTGTTCGCCCCGATTCGTCCCTTTTCTCGTCATCTTTTTCCCCGCTTTATGTGCTATTTCCATCTTTATCCGATAGTTGGTGAAAATCTTGGTTCTCGGGCAAGTTACGGCATTGCAGTGTGCAGAGGAGGCCCTCCACCCATCGTCGAATCGATTCGACAGAGGCCCTTCCACGCTTAACCTCGCCACGACGATATAACAACCACCGACGGCCGAGCTCGTGTGCTCGTGACGCTCTCTCTACTCTTCCTCCACTCTTCACGTTATATAAAACGTATACGTACGTATACGCTGATGAAACGCACGCTCGAGTTGCCGGCAAATCTGCCTGACAAAATCCGATAGGACCCTTACGGACCTAAAGTGTTTCGAGAGAGTAACCGGTAAACGGGGGTCGATGCTAATAATATAATTAATCGTCGGTCTCGCCTCTCGTTGCCCGGGGTGACAATGTTTTATTTCTTGGAAACACGCGAATCCACGCGACCGTTTAAACAAACCGTTCGTCGATAGTATCTCGAGGTTTTTAACGCGTGATGCTTTTCAATTTATCAAGATCGTTCGATCGTAAGAAAAATTTGCTCGAATCTCGACGAACGACGAATCGCGGATAGCACGCGCCTCTCTTCGTTTCACGGGACGCGAAACCGTGTTGTTCCGCTTTCGATCCGGGGTTCGTGAACGCCCGTGTGGAACGAACGAACACGAGTTGAAGAGGGTTCTCGAGACACGAGGTGTCGACGCGTAGCTGCGTGTACCTTGTCGAGGATCGAGTCGGGATCCTTGAAAAGGGACAAAGATTTCAGTAATATGGAAATCCGGGAAAAGCGGTTTCGCTTGGATTTGCTCGCGATATTGTGGACGATGATTCGTGGACACGATTAGTCGATTGTATCTCGTGTGTCCACGAGGTAACGTTTCGAGAAATGACAGATGAAATTTTGACAAGGAAAAAAGAATATCTTCAAACGTTATCGAACGTTTTCGAAGTTTTTTTTTCTTTTTTTTTTCTTACGAAGAGGAATTGGAGAGGAAGTAAAAAAAAAAAAAAAGTTTCGGCCGATAATACGGAATCGTAGTAAGGTTTCAAAGTGTACGGAAGATGTATCTGGATACTTTTAGAAAATTGTGATTGTCTCGGACAAAGAAAGATAATTTTTCTCGAGATAAATGAGTCTGGGATCAATCACGCGAGCGTGTATAGTTGTGTGCGTTATATCTCGCTACCTTTCATCTCTCGTTCGTTCGTTTCGTCTACGCTACACATCGGTATCGTTCGTTTTCCCTTGGCTTAATTTTTCTTTCCCATTAACGCGAACGTGTCCATCGAGCAACCAGGTTTTCCTACCGAAGAAAAAAAAGTTCCGTATAAAGAAATCCCTCTTCGACACGAGGGATTAACGTTTACGATCGTGATATATATGTATATACACATACGATTCTTTATCCACAACAGCTAAAACTTTCATTTATTCTCCAATTAGGGAATTTCGGTCGGAATTAAGCGTAACTTTTGATTAGATTTTACTTTTGCAAAGTAATGCCTAGAAATTATGGTTTGTCTCGCTCTTCACGATGTACAATTACGATAATTACAATAATCAACATAATTGTGTAATTGTGTAATAAAGAGAAACAATCTGATTTTTAGCGATCGTTCGCTGCCTCTTTCGAAATAATAATATTCGATGTTCAAAGAAGAAAGAAGATTCGAAGATCGTTGTATCGGAACGCGATTATTCCGTTAGATTGTTATTCGGACAATTAGATTGCCAGAAACAAGGAAAAGGAGGAAAAAATTGTTTCGACTCATCGTCGCTTGTTTTTTCTTTGGGATTAAAAAAAAAAAAAAGTATTTTCGTCTGTTAATGCGCGGCCGAGATTCTTTTGTTGAAATATCGATTCGCGGGTGGAAATTCGTCCCGTTACCTTGACCAATGACATTTCCTCGCTTTCCAAAAACGAGAATGTATTTTTCAGTTTCCCGTTCCATTCTCCATTTGGGGAAACGATCTCCGCGCGAATAAGCGCACAACAATAGATCAATACCATCTTTGCGATAATTGACCCTGAATGTGCTAGCCGAATTCTCGCGTTTCTATAAAAAGGAAACGAAGAAAAAGGAAAGGAGAAGAGTGGGGTAGGGAGGAGAAGGAGGAGGTTGAGAAGAGGAGACTGAGCAGAAAAGAAAAATATTCGTGCACATTCGCCTCTCTTTCTTCACCGGGAAAAGTAAATCGTCGGTTCTAGTTTTAGACTTCTCTTCGATTTGATTTTCGATAAAACGTCAAAGGTCGCGCGATGCGAATAAAAATTGCGATGGCCGCGACGAAATCGTATTCTCGTATCGTGCGACCGGATCGAGCGGATAAAATTCGTGAATCGAGTAAAGATCGTCGATTTACTTTTTGATTTATTACGCTCGAAATTATTACGATATTAGACGAGAAACTTGCGACCCGTTGCATCGATTGTGGAACGAGGAAGAAAATCCAGGTCAACTTTCCGGCTATTAGTCTGAGCTTTGTTGAAAAAAGAATCATCGGGAATTAATATATCTTTTGATAATTCGATTGTCCGTGGAATCTTAGCCACTCGAAGTCGTCATTTGGGAATCCGAGTCGAACAGACGTTTTCAACGGCGAGAATGGTATTTCGTTCGATCTCGATACGCGCGCGGACATCGCTATACTCTGCTTGTACTCAACTCTGGTTGGAATAATAGGAACGCGTGGACGGGAATGCTCGTGTAACTTTTCCTAATTAAATTTCGCGCATCGTCATAGTTAGGACCGATTTCGTCTGGGATACGTACGTGGGATACACTCGCATAAAGAAAGTTAGACGCGCATGATCGAGAATAGTTGGTTTCGTTAGGCTTTTGTCGCTGTAACTCGGACGTAACTAAAACTTTGACTTTGCGCAAAAAATGATCGCCTCTGATGGTACGTCACGTACTCCGCAAATGGTATGCGCTCTAGATTTCTTTATGAGTCTCGTCTCGTCTCTTCCGCGAGGAAACACGCAATTAAGGAATTCTTCCGTACCCTCCCCGTCCAGGAACGGAGAAGAAGCACGAAAACTTTGCGAGCGGGAAAACTTGTGCTCCAGGCGGAATCTTCTCGCCTCTATGAATGTAATCTATTCGTTACGGTCGAAACATTTAACCGTATCTGAAATTTATCGTGTTATTTTTTCTTTTTCTTTTTTTTTTTTTTGTTTTGTTTTGTTTTCCTTCGATATTTCGTTTTTTCGTTGGACTCGATTCTTCTCGAGAATCGTATCGCTTTGAAATAATTTATTTTTTTTACGAATTTAGTTATTTCGTTTCGAAATTTATTATAGATTTCGTGCAGTCGTCGTCGAGAATTTTTTTTCCAAACTCCGTATCGATCCGTATCCATCGTGACGATATTTTTCTCCCGAATCATTCTTTAAAGCATATTTCTCTTCCTCCCCTAGATACCTCGATTTTTGTATCTGCCCTTTCTCATCCGTCCCATTCGCTTGATTACGATTATTTAACGTGACTAAATAAACAATAAATACAGATAGATAAAACGTTTTCCCTTCGTCTCGAAGAAACGTGTGGAATTGTACACGATCAAGTTGCTCATTCCTAGACTATCTACAAGCTCAAACAAATTCGAGCAATTTCAAATTCTCGTGTATTCGCGATTCAAAGGAGAAAGTTCATTGCCTCGATTAATGGGGAATTTCGACGAATTTTTCCAACGATGGCAAAGTCAGAACTCAGCCGTGCGAGATAGGTCGTTAGAACGATGCGAAACATGCTGCCACGCAAACACGCCAACGAAAATGAGAATCGTGACACGCGGGTGATTCGCTTTAATTAATCCTTGCCGACTTTCGAAAACGAAATTCAGCATCAAAATTATCGTATCGATCCGCGTCAAACATCTCAGAAACACCAATCATCGTGCCTCATAATTATTAACAGAATCAAGCACTTGTTGTCGTTCGCGACGAGAGCCTCTCCCCTGCTTTTCCTCTGCAAGCTTGCGAGATGTCGCGAACAAGAGAGAGAAAAAAAAAAAATGAAACAAACTGCATTCGGGAAACGAGATGCCGTCGTATCGATCGAAGGTCGCAATTATTTGCACGATTGTAGTAAGTAAGTTTCAAGGATTTCGCTTCTTTTTCCCCGCTCTTTTCTTATTTTTCTTTTTCCCCGCTTCTCTTCTTCTTCTTCTTTTTTCCTCTTCTTTCACATCTCTCTTCTTCTCGTCTCTTTCTAATTTTTCCATCGCTACTTCTTTCCCACCATTTCTTTTTGTTCGCTAATCGAGCCACACGCGACCTTCGACTGGGTTTACGACTGGCCGCCGTAATCTCTCTGTGCACAACTCGATGTGAACCCCGCTTTCGCGAGCACTGCATTTCTCGTGTGACTGTGCGCCGCTTGCGATTATCACGAATCATCGAACAATACTACAATTACTCGATTGTCGTTACTGTGATTGTAACTGGGTGTTTCTTGCTTGCAGCACCAGAGCGCCGCCCAGGCATTGGTGAGTCGCATGTCTCTATCTCTTTTTTTTCTATCTCTCTATCTATCTATGTATTTATCTATCTATCTATCTATCTATCTATCTATATTTATCTATGTATCTTTATATTTTCTCTATGCGTACGTATATCTCGTTTCACGATGATTGACAAAACTTTTGTATACACGATCGCCGCGTTGCTAAACTTTACGCGTTGTACGCGATATACGATTTTGTTGTAATTTGATTCGCGGAAAGGAAACGCAGCGGAAAGAAACGGGAGTATCTTCGTTGCGAAAGTTTAGCAATCGAGGCGTTTCTACGCGATGCATGATTCTGTGTCCTCGTCGTACTTTGCCACGTCATATGCCTTTGATCGATGTATTTATTCATAACAAAGCATCAAACTGAACCGGACGTTCCAAAAGTCGCGCAATCGTTCTCGATTCTCTCCGAGGTGGGTGTCGCAGAAGGTCGTGTTGCGCGACTTTCGGAGCGGAAATTTGACGTATAATCGAATGATACCAACGATTCGAGGGGATGGGATCGGTTTGTTAAAAATTAACGAGGTTTTAACGAGAGCAACGATGGAAAAAAAGAGGGGGGGGAAAAAAAAAAGAAAAGGATATTGGTGGAATGGATTCATACGTACGAGGCAGGGAGAGAGAGAAAGAGAGAGAGAGAGAGGAGGAGAGAAGGAGGCTGTTCCA